ACACATCCTGTTATAGTTCAGTGAAATGTTTCATTTAAAAACAACATAAATATTGAAAATGTTTTAATCAATAAATCAAAGCTCTTCTAGTTTTTATCTTTTGGGGGGGTGAAAACAATATTGTTCCATTTAGTACTATCTAAACACTGGAGGAAGCACTCAGAGAGGAAGGGAGGAGGAGAGAGATGGAAACATCAGTGATGACAGAGAATCACTGATTGGCTGCCTCCTGCACACCCCACCCTGGGGATCGAGCCTGCAACCCAGGCATGTGCCCTGACCAGGAGCCCAACCTTGACCTTCTGGTTCATAGGTTGATGCTCAACCACTGAACCACACCGGCCAAGCTAACCATAAGGCTTTCTTATTTAAAAACTGTCTAGATGTTATAATACTTTACTTTGAGCCACAAATATATTGGTAACAAACATTAACTTTAAATAATTGCCTGCAGTCCTGGGTGCTTTTCTACAAACACTGGAAGCTCCAGGTAAAGGTTGAACAGCCCTTGGCAAAGGTGAATTTGCTCGCATATTGAGCTCCGTCCTGAAATTCACTGGGACATTATGGCAGCCCAGACCCAAGAGGTATCATTTAGCAAGCCACTGCAAGAGCAAAAGCTTCTGAAGACATACTTCAAGCGAGGATTAGCTTGGGCCCTGCAAGAATCAAGCTTTTTGGAGTTTAGAATCTGACAAGCAGCAGCTAAGCTCTTGAAAGATGAGAGTCTTGTGAGCATTTATCTGATGATTTTTAAACACAGGCAGCTGGGTTCGTTAAAAATCTTTCTGCGAGAGGGCAAGGCCTTCTGAAAACACGGCTTTTGGTTTCTCTACCTCCAACCTGTCGGTACTGAAAAGAAACTTGGAAAACGTAAAAGGCAGTTTCATTTAACATCACTGCCCTTCCGAGGCCAGGCAGCCTCCACGCTCAGGGCTGCCTGCGCGGATGACAGCTGCTGCTCTTCCGAGTTCATCGTGTGCACGTGGGGCGGGAGGGAAAGGGAAGGCGGCCGGGCTTCCAGCCTGCTGGGGGACACTCAGTCTGTCCAGGCAGAGCCGCCCCTCTGCTGGATGCGGGCTCCCTCTCTCCTCCTGCCCTCCCGGGCCTCTGCTAGCCCCCCAACTGCACCTAGTCCCAGGTCCCCAGTCTTGATCACCATGAAGAGCCAAGCCAACAAGTCAACAAGCTACCGGAGGAAACGGTTCTTGCATATTCTGGCTTTCAGCAGTTGTGATCAATGGCAAAGTCGTTACATTTCTGACGTCTCAGTTCCGGTGCTCGGTGCCTGCTAGAAGCCCGCTCAGGAAACTGTATCAGTCCTCCCTGTCATCTTGATTGAGCAGATAGGACTCCTGCTGGCCGGTGGAGAAAGGGAAGGTGAGCCCCCGCCGCCCTTTCCTCACCACAGCTCACTCAGGGTGAGGCAACAGATCTAGAATATGATAAAGACACAAACACCTTCCTGCAACAGATAACAAAGAAAGACACTCTGCAAACACTCTCACTGCTGTCACTTCCACACTAGCTTGCTTGCCAATTTTCTGAGATACTGAAATGTACGTAGATAAAATTAGTCCGAACTTAATCATTTAGCTCATCTCCATAAACAGGCATGAATTGTCTCAATTTCTTTCCTCCCCACCCCCCACCACCCTCCTAATCACATTTTGGGAAAGTTACCTAAAGTTCCGAAGAGTGACCAAACTGATATTTTCTCATGAAAACAAGATAAATAAACAGCCCGCAAAATACGTTTGGGAGGTTTAAAATGTTGAACCCAGATCTCCATCTTATTAAAAAAAAAAAAAAAAAAACAAACAGTCACAGAGGTGTCATTTGCTTGCTATGTTTTGTAATTAATAACAAGGAATTATTTTTACTCTGATATTTAGGTATAGATTTTCTATTGTATTGCTATATTCAGGTCTTTCACTTTATATACTTCATTATGGAAAGAATCTAAATTTACAATGAATTTAGAAGTAATCTGCCTTGGAGAATGTATAACAATAACAAAAGATAAGCCCCAAAATTACCCATCCATCCAGACAGCTACAAATTCCTTAACAGCCTTTGCAAAGTGTTTCTGTCTGTCTTCAGAGGCCTGTTTCTCTATTGTTTGGGACAAATATGACTTTTACTTGAAAGCCACATTTCAGATTGTTTACAATATATTTTGTTAAGTCAACTAAATTAAATTTCACACGCACCAGCTGTATTTCTCCATCCGCAACCATTCACAAGAATCTTCAAGTAAGAAGTGTTTTTTAAACATTCCAAACAACTCGGATTTTTAAAAGATACTATCGGTTTTTACGTTAGATATTTCACCAAGCTGACTAGAACCTTCATTTCTGAGTATTTGGATAATATAATTATTTGCAGAATTACTTCATTTAAAAGAATGGCTTCCAATATGTGAGAGCCAAGAAGAGAAAAATAAATCGCTTTTATTTCTCTAGGCTCCCAGGCTAGTTAGAATATATGTGCTCACATTTTTAATAAAGACCCAGCAGAAAGAAAATGGGAGCACTTAACATCATGGGTTCTGTTTAGACAAAAGAAAGAGGAGGAGAGAAGCAAATTTTAAAATGCAGTCTCCATGTAAGTGATTAATTTTTCTCACTCATGTGTCAGTCTCTCCATTTCCTTCCAGGCAAGGCCCTTTCCATTTCAAAGGCATCCTCAGGAGCTGTTTTCTCACCATGAGAAGCCTACCAAACTCTCAAAGAGAAATCGCCTACCAAACTCTCAAAGAGAAATCGGAAAGGACAAGGGTGCGTAGGGCACTTTCCTGAGAGCTTTTAATCCCTGCAATTCCCACTTCCACAGAAACCTCCAGCCTGCAGTGCTCCCGCCTGAGGTTCTGAATAAAACACAAACTGCTAACCGGCCGAACCAAAATATCTGCATTAATCTCGATGGGAAAACAATAACACAACAACACTGAGGAGATCGCTTTAGAGAAGAAAACTGGTAACACTTGGCTCACCCCAAGCAAAACATTTGAACAGAAGCAACCTAATTCGAACAGGAAAAAGCACCCCCCAGGCAAAGGTACGTGTGGAGCCACACACCTCTGAGCCTCGGGAGCGAAGTTCCACGGACAACAGGAGAAACCAGCGGAACCCGCAAAGCCTCCAGCAGCACGTCCACCCCAGTGCTTTCCCAAGAAATAATTTCAGAACAGAGAGGGGAGAGAGAAACTTTCCCAGCCCCCGAGCCCTGAGGTGTACACCCCAATCCCGCCACTAGGTGGCGTCTGAAAGGTGGGGGCGTGGGCTGCTGTTTTCTCAGCTTCTTCCCCTCTGGGACGCACTTTCCAGCCGGGGGGAAGCCCCCCAGCCCCCACTGGATCCAGCTCGCTAACATTTTTGGATTTGGCAAAAAGGGAAGAAAAAATCAGGCCTCAGAACCTGAGCTTGCCTTTCCTTCCAATCTGTTCTCTCACCAAAGCTGGGCAACTGGGGGGTGAATAATTGATAGATCTGAATATTTTAAACTCTGCTGGCGTTTTCAAAGCAAACCTTCCAGGCGACCAACGGCTTTAGAGGGACAAGTGACGACGGAATTACGACGCGAACGCTGACGTGCTGGGCTGTGCACCGCTCGGTGGCGTGGACGGAGCCACAAGGTGATGGGACCGGCTGGGTAAACACACACCGTTTTACTGCTGGCCAAACATTCCTCCTCCATTCATCAGAGTGCGAGAGTGGAAACATTCAGGCGGGGGCATGGCATCTTCGTGGACTGCTCCCCGAGGACACCCTTCTGAAGTCAGGACCTTACTTGGGCTGCCTTCTACCTTGGGTGTCAAATCAAGTCTCCTCCCACGATGGAGGGAAACCACGTCCCCGTTTTTAAAAAGAGAAAGGCTGCACCCCAGAGCTCAAATCTTGGCAGGAGAGACGTTATGTAAATTCCAGGTGCTCCTGGCTGTCGTATGTTTACAGGCGCAGGGTCGTTTCAGGAACCACCTAAGTTTCTGGGCCGCTTTTTTTCTTTTTTTTTTCTTTTTTTTTCTTTTTCTTTTCATCTCAAGGAAGCGTCAAAACGTGTTTATAGCTCTGACTTTCGGATCTTTACCCACTCCGTGCAGACATTTCCTGCCAGCTCAACGCAGGAAATGTAATGATTCGCACCCAATACGCATGTAAGCACCGGCCACGCTTACCTATCTCTCCTTAACTGAGCCCCAATCAGTTACCTCCCTCACGTCCCGCCAAAAAAAGTGGGGGGGGGGTCTGGGGGGGGTATGACCTCTGAAATCCTGACTTGTTTTCTAGATGGTTGGTACATCCATCCTCTCGTTATTCTAGGAACAGGCTGATTCCTCAACATCTGACTTTGCCTTTAAAAGGCTTCCTTTCCACACGACGGGATTTCCCTGCGAAACATTCCCAGCGGCCGGTTTCCAGCAACAGCCTGTATCAACTCAGCCTGCGCAGGCGAAGACTTGGCTCCTGCTAATTCCACCACCACCACCACCACCCTCCCCAACACTCACACACACACACACACACACACACACACTCACACACACACACACACACACACACTCACACACACACACTCACACACACACACACACACACACACACACACACACACACACACACACACTCACCCCCATCCACACTCCCAGGACCCATCCCGGGCCGCTCCAAAAGCTGTTTGTTTGTCTGCACGCGGGCCCCTCTCTTCCTGAATGGATGCTCTCCCCGCTGACCTTTCCGCCAGCCGCCGCGATGCCCGGGAGGCTGCAGAGCAGGAAGCCGGGGGGACCTTCCAGCATCCCCTGCCCCGATGTCCCTCTCCTTCTCCACCAAAGTGCGGATTCCCCGAGCCCGAGGGCGGCCGAGCCCAAGCGCTTGCCGGCGGGGCAGCTCCCCGAGGTGTCCGTCCCGCTCGGACCAACTGGCCGCGGGCACCCCGCGCCGCACACGCCCCAGCCCGCCCGGCACCGGCACCTCCCGCGCCCCGGCCCCGCCGCTTACCTTCCCTGGCTTTCAGCAAGACCGTGTTGGCCACGATGTTTTCCAGCTCCATTGACAGCCGGCGGTCAGCGAGGGAGCCGGTCGGCGGGGCTGTCAGCGCCTGGGGTGCTGCCGCTGGGTGCTGCCGCCGCCGCCGCTGCGGGAGCCGGAGCCGGAGCCGGAGCCGGAGCCGGGAGCCCGCCTTTCCTACCGCATTATTCCAGCTCTGGTCCCCTCAGAGTTTTCCCCCTCTGCAAAGAGGAGCCGCCGCCGCCGCCGCCGCGTCTTCCTCCCTCTGGTCCCCCCTCCCCCCTCCCGCAACGCGCTCCCCCCCACCCCCCACCCTCGGCGCTTCTCTGTCACTCCATTCTCCTCCCCTCCGGCTCCCTCGGATGCTTTAATGCCTCGGATGCTTCTGCCTCCCCTCCGTCCCTCCCGGGGGTGTGGTACTAGCTAGGCTCCGGCGGGCCTCACTGCGCAGGCGCCGGCCCCGGCCGCGCCCACTGCCTCGGCGCCCGGGGCGCGGGGCCTGCTGGGACTTGTAGTCTCCCCGGCGCGCCGCGCGGTGGCCGGGGCGGCACGCAGCAGCTGCGGGAGTCCCGAGGGCCGCCCGCGCCCGGCGCCCAGGGTGAAGGCGGGGAGCGGCGCTGTAAGAGGTGGGTGGGGGAATCAAAGGCCCGCCCGGCTGGCTGAGCAGGAGCCCTCAGCCCTGGGGCCGAGCTCGCACGCCCGTGCCCCGGGGTCCGGCTCGCCCGTTTCCCGCCCTGCCGCGAGCCCGGAGAGCGAAGTCACAGGCCGCGGCGGCGGCCAGCTAAGTGCCACGGCCCAGCCGGAGCCGGTGCGTGTCCGGCCGACCGTCTGATCTACTCGGGGCCGGAGGAAGGTCGGCCCGGCCCGGCCCGGCCCGGCCGCGCGCCGCACCCCCTTCCTGTGGGCCACGCGGGGACTGCAGCGGGCCCGCACCCGGCGGCCCGGAGCTGTGCGCCGCCTCGCACGCACACGTGCCCGGCCGCTGACAAAGGTGCACTTTGTTTCCTCCGAGGGCGCCAGGGGATCTGCCGCTCGGCGGCGGCCGGGCACCGGCGGCCGCGTCGGTGGCCGCGCAGCCTGAGCGCCCCCTGGCGGCGGCCGGGACTCCGGCGGTCCCTGCGTGGGAAGCGGCCGGTGTGGCTAACAAACTGCCTTGTAGCACGCGGAGTCCGCAAATCCACGAGCCGCATGACATCCGAGCTCACTGAGATGATGCGCGAAGAGGGAATCGCCTGAGCCGGCATTGGGGAGTGTTCACGGGGAACAGCGCCAAGCTGGTGCTGCAAGTGCGTTTTCAAATTCCCGGCTTTGGAGCTCTTGGCGCCTTCCTACTGTAAGCTCAGGACACTCAGCCTCTCTTCCTCTGAAGGCCCCACTCCCGGGAAATGGGCCCGCCGGCACCCTGGGGTCTGCGACCAGGGCGGGGTGGGCGGGGAGTGGGCTGACCCTAAGAACAATGAGGCCTTTGCCTCCTCTGCATCCTGCGGGCCGGATATCCTTTCCTCCGAAGCTGGCCGTGGGCCTTCTCCGTGCAAAAGGAGGAAACCTTCTGTCCCCAGGGCTGCCAGGAAGTGGCAGGGAGGTGCCGGGAGAGGCGGAGAACAATTATTAGGCATTGGAGAACATGAAGAAATTAATAGACTTTCCAGGCCTTGGAAACCCGAAGGCTGGTTTCCTAATGGATTACACCCACAGCCACCGCCACCTCCACTTCCTCGGGTCTGGATGTGGGTCAGTGGGACTGCCCGGGCCTTTCTTGTCTTGTCTGCAAAGTAGAGGCAGTAACGGTTTACCTGACTTCTGGGGCACCTTCCGCTCCAGGGATTGTCCCCCGTCAGCCACTTAGGCTTGGTCTTGGCTACATACCCTCGTGCCCAGAGCCCTAACTTAGAATAGGAAGGTCCGTAAGGCCTGCTGCAGTCCTAGGTTTATTTTGGCTGATATAAAACACACACACACACACACACACTCTGAAAACTAAACTAGCCGAAACCGGTTTGGCTCAGTGGATGGAGTATTGGTGTGCAGACTGAAAGGTCCCGGGTTCGATTCCAGTCAAGGGCATGTACCTTGGTTGCGGGCACATCCCTGGTAGGGGGTGTGCAGGAGGCAGCTCGTCGATGTTTCTCTTTCATCGATGTTTCTAGCTCTCTATTCCCTCTCCCTTCCTCTCTGTAAAAAAATCAAACTATATTTAAAATAATAATAATAAAACAAAAACTAAATTTGAATGCCTTCGATGAGTTGTCCTTCCTAGCAGCCTTCTCAAACGTGTATGTGCATACAGATCATCTAAGGATATTGTTAACGTGTAAATTCTGTTTCACTAGGTTTGTGATGGGTCCTGAGGTTCTGTTTCTAACGAACTCCAAGGTTCTGTCCACCCTGCTGGTCAGTGCACCGCATTGTAAGTAGCAAAGCTCTACAGTTATAATCCTCACCACCCTCCAATGCCTGATATCGGGCCCAAGTCACCAGCAATTTTACTTCTTTTGCTTCTATAGGCTTTTGGGTGTGTAACGCTGGGAAAAAATCCCTGGGTGCCCCCACCTCCTTTTAGAATAAGTAGTTCTGTGTGGTCTTTAGGCAAGCGATCGCCTATCTGCTTCTCTGCCTCCAAAATAAATGGCTGTATTTCAAGTATCTGTGACTCTCTGAAAAAAAATAATAATAATGAGAACATTCCAATACAAGAATGGAATGATAATGGCTAGATTTACAGGATACCGAGTGTAATCCGGGCCCTGTGCTAAGTGCTTTCCATGGGTTATTTCGTTGACCATCATGTCTGGGTGAGGTAGAGACAGAGCCCCATTTTATAGATAAAATCACCAGGCTAGAAAAGTTTTATAACTTAAGGTCCCACAACTAATAATAAGTAGACGACCTGGGATTTGAACCCAGCAGTCTGAATCAGAGTCTTTGCACTTAATTTCTGGCTAGCTCAGGCCGGCAGGCACAACTTGGTTGCTATTGTTCTGTATGGCTGACCTTACACTGTAAGAAGGCAAAGCAGGCAGTTGGCGAAATGATTAAGACTTGAGGGTTTTCCATCCCTGTCCACAATCCCACCATTAAAGCTTCATTCCTTTCAATTAACTGCATTAACTACTCACAGTCACCTTGAAAAACGGGTTTGATTCATTAAATGTCAGTAGGTAAATAGAGACTCTTGTTGGCTGATAGCAAGAACGGAAATCCAAACGGAGGACTGGGTAAGTGTGAGAGGGATGGGAATATGCCAAAGACAAATACTCGCTTCCAAGCCACTCGGGATCAGTTGAGCTGGAAATCAAAAGAAACGGAATCTTCCCATTCTGTGGGCACCTCTCTCGCATGGCTAAAGCTGCTGGTTCAGACTTCTCCTAAACAGGAACTGGCTATTTGGAAAGTGATAAACCTACCTTCGTCCTAATACGTGGATTGCTTTGGCCCGAACAATCAAACTTCGTGAATAGAGCCGGAGCTGGAGTTTTCATTTCTTCCCTTGCCTCACTGAGACTTTCTAATCATCCAGAAACAGTTGGAGATAGTGTTTTCATTCTCCCGCTCACTCCCTCATTCTTCAAAGTCTACCTCTGTGCCAAGCACAGGAGGGAATAACAAGGTGATTTCCCAGAAGAGGAAGGAAGGCAAACTGGGAAGCAACCCACTGAGGTGGAATAAAGGCCGTTGTGGACAAATATACAGAGGGCTGGGAAACGGAGAGAGAGAAGTGATTCCAGGCACCTGGGACGATGCCAAGGCAGAGAGATGAGAACGGAGAGCGGGGTTGGAGTTGTGAGGTGTCTAGTTGCTTTCCCTCTCCCCTGAGAAGACCCTTCATGGACGGGCCCCAGTGGTTACCAAATTGAACATTAAAGTGTTGCTATGCCACCCAGCCGGCATGGCTCAGTGGTTGAGCATCGACCTGTGAATCAGGAGGTCACGGTTCTATTCCCCATCAGGGCACATGCCGCGGTGCAGGCTTGATTCCCCAGTAGAGGGTGTTCTATCTCTCTCCTCCCTTTCTCTCTGAAATCAATATATATATATATATATATATATATATATATATACACACACACACACATATATATACACACACACACACACATATATACACACGCGCGTGTGTGTGTGTGTGTATATATATATATATATATATATATATACACACATATAAAATTTTGGCTATGCAGTAGACCATCTATCACTTTTCTGTTAATATTTTTCTTTAAAGTCAAGTTGTTTTAAAACTTTTAATTCATCCTAGCCCATTACATTTGTGAAGTGTGAGGAGGAATAGAAGTATCACACTTCAGAAAATACTGACTTCCAAGCAACACACCTCCAAGCAATGGGGCCTGGGAAGCCTTTGGTTCAGGAGGAACTAGCTGATGACACATCTGTCCGGAGGCTTCACCCTGGTGTTGCCGAATGGCTATGACCTAGGGCCGTGGTCGGCAAACTGCAGCTCGCGAGCCACATGCAGCTCTTTGGCCCCTTGAGTGTGGCTCTTCCACAAAATACCACGGCCTGGGCGAGCCTATTTTGAAGAAGTGGCGTTAGAAGAAGTTTAAGTTTTAAAAATTTGGCTCTCAAAAGAAATGTCAATCGTTGTGCTGTTGATAGTTGGCTCTGTTGACTGATGAGTTTGCTGACCACCGACGTATGGCCATCTAAACACCCAGCTTGATAACAAGACATTCCAGGTTCATCCTCTGAGCTCTGAACTGCAAGTTCAGAAAGGAGATTCCTGGTGAAATGCACATGTCTGCTGATGCTCTCAACCACATGTGGTCTCTGAGAACACAGGCCCCCTCCCCTGGTGCCAGGTTCAGTTGGCAGAGTCCCCACAGCAGACTTACTTGGGCACTGATTGCTAAAAAGTTGTTGCCTCCATTGTATTTAGAGGAGATCTGTGGCCCAAGGTCAACTGCTAAGTGGTTGGTAAGGATATTTATTTAGGTAAGCCTCTGCCTTCCCTACTCAAAGGCCTGAACATACTAAGTGCCTTACATGCAGTGAGTATTTGGCAATATTTGCTGACTTGGAGCAAATATGGCATCACTCAACCCCACTTACACCTCTGGGATACTAGTTAACATTCAAAATTCCCACAGCTCTGCCAGATCAGAGATAACCAGGTATCAGAGTAAACATCACAGAGAGCCATGGGCAATCTCTCAGGGCCTAGAACTTCCAGCTGTCTGACTGTACCTCCATCTGTCTGACTGTACCTCCATCTTCAAAGGCAGCTGAGTCCTGTGATCAGCCTTCTCATTAAACTGATCAGCTGAAACAGGTTTGGCTCAGTGGATAGAGCGTCGGCCTGAGGACTGAGGGGTCCAGGGTTCGATTCCGGTCAAGGGCATGTACCTTGGTTGCGGGCACATCCCCAGTGGGGGTGTGCAAGAGGCAGTTGATCGATGATTCTCTCTCATTGATGTTTCTAACTCTCTATCCCTCTCTCTTCCTCTCTGTAAAAAAATCAATAAAATATATTTTTAAAAAACTGATTATACAACTTTAAAAGAAACTAAGCAGACCAAGTTCAACCCACTTTTCAGAGTAAGTGAAACAAAATATCTACCCTGAAAAT